TTGTTTCCATGGTAGCAAAGTGATGCCCCCTGTGCATGGCTGTAACTCTGTGGTGCAGGTTGACATGAAATCAGACATTTGCTACCTTCTTGAAAATAAATGTATAAAGTCAAAGGAAGCTTTTTTGAAGAGGAGCTTCCCTTTTAGAATTAATTACGTATTTCTTTCCATTTTTTAACTTGTGATTTCCTGTAAAGGTGACGGAGATGCATCAAACAAGTGGAACTTATTTGAATGCATGTGTTTCCTCCACCTTTAGTTTGCTGTTACACCTGCTGCCAAATTCTGGCTAGTCTGCATTAATCCAGGGTTTGTATTTATGGTGCTCTAGCCACTACGGGGTTTGGGGTGGCCCTAAATGTGACAGACTCTCTGCACGAATGCAGGAACAGAGGGTTAGTGCTTAGGGGGATAGTTTAGGGGCCGGTTTGGGATTGAGACAAGGACAACGACTCATTAGAAGCATGCCCACTGTCTCTACATTTTCAGCAAGGATGGGTGAATTGTGCAATCAAAACGGATTTGTTCTCAATTCTGGTCCTCAATTACCACTGTCCTGCAGGTTTTATGCATCTCCTTGGTGCCACACACCAAACTAATAGGAAGTTATGACTAAGAAACTTCTGCAGGATTTGATGGCTCCTGAGGAGCTCATGATACACATGTGCTGCCACAGTGAGACATCTAGAACACGCAGAGCATGCAGTGGTACTTGAGGACCAGTAATGAGAACCCTTCCTTTAACCAAAATGCCAGTAGGATTTGATTGAATCAAGTTTTGTAAATCTCTAAAATGCTGGGAGATAAAGCAGATCTTGTGGCATTGGTGCCTTTATTTTCCATCCAGGTGGAGATGGACTGACCTTGTTCAAATGCAAATCTATAAGGAATCACTTACAAAACACAAATAGAGAAAATAAGCAGGAATAGCCCCCGCAGTGTCCTCCAGAAGTTTACCTGATTTGAATTTAAATCTGGTTCAAAAGTGTCGCTTTTTTCTTTTTTTCTCTTGAAATCACTGCCAGTTAGTTCTGCTGTGACTTGGATGCATGTAACTTAGAGGTAGTTCCTGACAATGCAAGCTGACCCATCCCTGATTGTGTCTGAGGCCAACCCTTCCCACTAACATTTGTAGGATGAACCACCATGGCTTTACAGTGCAGGCTGCATTGCTTCCTTCAGGATGATGCTATATGGTCCCATCCCTCCCTCTGAGCATCCTGGAGGACCTACCCCCCTCCTCCTCCTCTCAGCCTGCTCTCCATCAACCGTGACGTCAGGGCGGTGAGGCACGGGGGAGTTGTCCTCGCGCCTGAGCCCGGTGGATGCTGCTGAAACAAGATGGCTGTGCGCGCAGGAGGAGCAGCGGCGGAGAGCTGA